AGGAAGGAAACAGAGGGAAAGGAAGGAGGGGGGGGAAGGAAGGAAGGAAACAGAGGGAAAGGAAGGAGGGGGGGAAGGAAGGAAACAGAGGGAAAGGAAGGAGGGAGGGAAGGAAGGAGAAAAGAGAAGAAGAGACAGAAGGAAGGTGGGAGGGAAAGATGGAAAGGAAGGAAGGAGAAAAGAGAGGGAGGGAGGGAGAAATAGCAATAGCACAAACTTATATACTGCTTTCCAACCCTCTCTAAGCGGTTTACAGAGTTAGCCTCTTGCCCAACAATCTAAGTCCTCGTTTTACCGACCTCGGAAGGATGAAAGGCTGAGTCAACCTTCAGCTGGTCAGGATCAAACTCTTGCCAGTGGGCAGAGTTATCCTGCAATAGCACATAGACTTATATACCGCTTTATAGTTCCTGACAGCCCTCTCTAAGCGGTTTACAGAGTCAGCCTCTTGCCCCCAACAATCTGGGTCCTCGTTTTACCCACCTCGGAAGGACGGAAGGCTGAGTCAGCCTTGAGCCAGTCAGGATCGAACTTCCTGGCTGTGGGCAGAGTTTAGCCTGCAATTCTGCCTTCTAACAACTGCAACGACATTCGTTCCTTCTTTATTTTCTTCCTTTTTACCTTCCTTTCCTCCCTCCCTCCTTCTTCTCTTTCATCCTTCTCGTCCTTCCTTCCCAAGCAGTAGCACTTAGATTTATATACCACTTCATAGTGCTTTCCTTCTTTAAGCCGTTTACAGAGTCAGCCTCCTGCCCCCAACAATCTGGGTCATCATTTTACCCACCTCGGAAGGACGGAAGGCTGAGTCAGCCTTGAGCCAGTCAGGATCGAACTTCCTGGCTGCGGGCAGAGTTTAGCCTGCAATTCTGCCTTCTAACAACTGGAAGAACATTCATTCCTTCTTTATTTTCTTCCTTCTTACCTTCCTTTCCTCCCTCCTTCTCTTTCATCCTTCCTTCTCATCCTTCCCTCCCTCTCTCCTTCGTTCCTTCTTCTCTTCCATCTTTCCTTCTCATCCTTCCCTCCCTCCTTCCTTCCATCCTTCCCAAGCACTAGCACTTAGATTTATATACCACTTCATAGTGCTTTCCTTCTTTAAGCCATTTACAGAGTCGGCCTCTTGCCCCCAACAATCTGTGTCCTCATTTTACCAACCTCGGAAGGATGGAAGCAGTGGTGGGACCCTGCCAGTTTAACAACCAGTTCAGTGACTGCGTGCTGCGCGATCGCGCACGTCAGCAGTTTTAACAAGACGTACCTTCCACGTTACTTCTAGGGAGTAACACAGCTGAGGCGCGGCAATCTGCCACAAGAATCAGCTGAGAAGATATAGGTAAGTAAAGCGCAGGGGTAGAGGGATGGGCCAACCTGATCATCGGAGTGAACCCGTTCCCCCTCCAGCTGATCGTCGGAGCTACCAATCCGAAACAGCTGAATCCATCCCTGGATGGAAGGCTGAGTCAACCTTGAGCCTGGTGAGGTTCGAACTGCCAAATTGCAGGCAGCCGGCAGTCAGCAGTAGCAGCCTAAAGGACTGCACTCTAACCGAGGATTGGATCTCAAAAATCTAGGACCCCACCTCCAAGGCAATGGCGACATTAATGGCGAGGTATGCTCAAGGGGGAATGCAGCCTGGACGCGTCGCCAAGAACTATCCGGTGTGTTACAGGATAGACAAAGGCCAACGCATCTTAAAGCTAAGATTTAGAAGGCAACCATCCTCCCTATCACACTGCATGGCACTGAATGCTGTGACAACAGGGACCGAAAGCTCTCTCCATGCCGTGGAA